GTACTAGTTTGCATTCCCACCAACAGTGTTAAGAGGGTTCGTTTTTCCCCCTGCATCCTTGCCAACACCTGTTGTTAGTGGTGTTGCTAATGGTGGCTATTCTAACAGGGGTGAGGTGGAATCTTAGTGTGGTTTTAATTTGCATTTCCTTTATTGCTAGAGATGGTGAGCATTTTTTCATGTGTTTTTTGGCCATTTGAATTTCTTCTTTTGAGAAAGTTCTGTTTAGTTCATTTGCACATTTCTTTATCAGTTCATTAATTCTGGGAGAATTTATATTTTTTTAAGTTCCCTAAATTTTCTGGTTATCAGTCCTTTGTCTGATGTGTAGCTGGCAAATATTTTCTTCCACTCTGTGGGTGTTCTCTTCAGTTTAGAGACCATTTCTTTTGATGAGAAGCAGCTTTTTAGTTTTATGAAGTCCCATTTATCTATGCTATCTCTTAGTTGCTGAGCTGCTGGGGTTCCATTGAGAACGTTCTTACCTATACCTATTAATTCCAGAGTATTTCCTACTCTTTCCTGTATCAACTTTAGAGTTTGTGGTCTGATATTAAGATCCTTGATCCATTTTGAGTTAATATTGGTATAGGGTGATATACATGGATCTAGTTTCAGTTTTTTGCAGACTGCTAACCAGTTTTCCCAGCAGTTTTTGTTGAACAGGCTGTCTTTTCTCCATCACATATTTTTAGCGCCTTTGTCAAAGACAAAGTTATAGTTATAGTTGGTTATAGTTGTGTGGCTTCATATCTGAGTCCTCTATTCTGTTCCGCTCATCTTCATGTCTGTTTTTGTGCTAGTACCATGCTGTTTTTATTGTTATTGCTTTGTAATACAGTTTGAAGTCAGGTATTGTGATACCTCCAGCGTTGTTCTTTTGACTGAGTATTGCCTTGGCTATTCGTGGCCTCTTGTGTTTCCATATAAATTTAATGGTAGATTTTTCAACCTCTTTAATGAATGTCATTGGAATTTTGATGGGAATTGCATTAAACATGTAGATTACTTTTGGGAGTATCGACATTTTTTACTATGTTGATTCTACCAATCCATGAGCATGGAAGATCTCTACACTTTCTATAGTTATCCTCAATCTCTTTCTTCAGAATTTTATAGTTTTTCTTGTAGAGGGCATTCACATCCTTTGTTAGGTTTACACCTAGGTATTTGATTTTTTTTTGAGGCTATTGTAAATGGAATTATTTTCATATTGTTCTCAGTTTGTTCATTATTAGTGTATAGAAATGCTAATGTTTTTTCCATGTTGATTTTATATCCTGCTACCTTGCTGTAGCTATTGATGGTTTCTAGGAGCTTCTGAGTAGAGTTTTTTGGGTCTTTAAGGTATAGGATCATGTCGTCTGCAAATAGGGATATTTTTACAGTTTCTTTACCTATTTGTATTCCTTTTATTCCTTCTTCTTGCCTAATTGCTCTGGCTAGGAATTATAGTATTATGTTGAATAGGAGTGGAGATAGTGGGCATCCTTGTCTAGTTCCTGATTTTAGAGGGAATGGTTTCAGTTTTTCTCCATTAAGTGTAATGCTGGCTGTAGGTTTGTCATATATAGCTTTTATAATGTTGAGGTACTTTCCTTCTGTTCCTAGTTTTCTTAGAGCTTTTATCATGAAATGGTGTTGGATCTTATATTTTTCTGCATCTATTGAGATGATCAAGTGGTTTTTATCTTTGCTTCTGTTAATGTGGTTTATTATGTTTATTAATTTTCATATGTTGAACCACCCTGGCATTTCTGGGATGAAGCCTACTTGGTCGTGGTGAATGATCTTTTTGATGTGTTGTTGAATTCAGTTTGTCATTATTTTATTGAGGATTTTTGCATCAATGTTCATTAAGGAGATTGGCCGGCCTATAGTTCTCCTTTTTGGAGGTGTCTTTGCCTGGTTTTGGGATAAGTGTAATACTGGCTTCATAAAATGTGTTAGGCAGTTTTCCTTCCCTTTCCATTTCGTGCAACAGTTTAAGGAGGGTTGGTGTCAATTCTTCTTTAAAGGTCTGATAGAACTCAGCAGAGAATCCATCAGGCCCTGGACTTTTCTTTTTGGGGAGACTCTTGATTGCTGCTTCAATTTCATTTTGTGTTATAGATCTATTCAGGGGATTAATATCCTCTTGGTTCAGTTTTGGATGATCATATGTATCTAGAAATCTGTCCATTTCTTTAAGATTTTCAAATTTATTTGAATATAGGTTCTGGAAGTAGTGTCTGATGATTTCCTGGACTTCCATGGTGTTTGTTGTTATCTCCCTTTTGCATTCCTGATTCTACTAATTTGGGTTTTTTTCTCTCCTCATTTTAGTCAGGTTTGTCAGGGGTCTATTGATCTTGTTTTCAAAGAACCAACTTTTTGTTTCATTAATTCTTTGTATGTTTTGTTTGGTTTCTATTTCATTGATTTCAGCTCTTATTTTTATTATATCTCTCCTTCTACTTGCAAAACATACATTTAAAATGAATGTTTTAAAAGATTGATTATATTGATTATATAAATTGATTTATATATTTTTTTCTATCACTTACAACGAAAAATGTATTCATTTTGGCCTTAGCTCTGAATATACAAATTTAGAGATAGATCTTTTGATACAGCTTTAGAAGGGAGTCATGCTAAATACTTGGATGCTTTTCACCTGTTGCTGGAAGAGATTTGTTTTTAACTACATTGACTGTACCATGAGGAATTTAAAATTTTGAAAGAACCAGTGATTAAAAGCAAATTCAGGAATGAATTTCAAACTGTAAAATTAACCATATGGCTAGCATTAGCTCACAAGAGCATTCAGACTCAAAGTAGAATGACTTTTCTCAAAGTGAAGACCATAGCAAGGCTCTGTGCAGGAAGCAAGAAACAAGCTGAAAAGCTCAGAGCTTTTGGGAACCTGATATCATTGATTCTAAGTCATTAGAACATTTCAGTCACTGACATCAACACTTTCTTCCCCAGTTTTCTTTCTCCTGTCCACATGTTCTCTACTTTCACTCATTACTTAGGAAAGATAAGACAGCAGGAAAGAGCTGGGTGCCGGTGGCTCACGCCTATAATCCTAGCTACTCAGAAGGCAGAGATCAGGAGAGTCATGGGTTGAAGCCAGCCTAGACAAATAGTTTGCAAGACCTATCTCAAAAATACCCAAAAAAGAGCTAGCAGAGTGGCTCAAGTGGTAGAGCACCTGCCTAGTAAGTTTGAGGCCCTGAGTTCAAACCCCAGTACTGCCAAAAATAATAATAATAAATAAGCAAAAAAGCAGGAAAGAACCAGATTATTTACAGATTGTATTAAACAAAGAAAATATCATGCCTACTCTATCCTTTCCCAAAATAGGAAAATAACTATACTTCTATGTTATTAGGTGATAGAGAAGTCCTTTAGAAAATGTCCAAATGAAAATCCCGAGAACAATAATTTATCAATTTAAATTAATTTGAAGTTTCAAACATTAGCTGGTAGATAATTAGATTACAAGCATAACCAAGAGGAGAATATGATCAAAATCCTAAACTTTTATACTCTCAAGCAAACTGTGTTGATAAACAAATTATTAGCACCCAGGATAGCAAAGTAGGAACATTTTCCAACTCCTCTTGAATCTAGTCTTACAGATATAATTTCATTGTTTAATTACAAGCAATGTGAATTCTCTAAATACATATAAAATGTAAATATAAGAACACATTCTTGCCAAGCATTGGTGGCTCATGCCTGTAATCCTAGCTGCTTAAGAGTTGAGGATCATGGTTTGAGGACAAATCCAGCAAATAGTTCACAAGACCCCATCTCCAAAACAACCAGAGCAAAATGAGCTGGAAGTATGGCTCAAGTGGGAGAGCACTTCTCTGTGAGCATGAAGCCCTCAGTACAGACTGCAGGCCCACCAAAAAAAAACAAAAAACAAAAAACCGTATTTTCTAGGTTTGATAATACATGCCTGCAAAGCCAGCACTCAAGAGGCTGAGGCAAGAAGATTGCAAGTTTGAGTTCAGCCGGGGCTACACAGTGAGACCCTGTCTTAAAACAACCACCACAAAAAAGAAATAACACCTTATTCCAAAGCAACTCAAATACAATTTGTTTTCTTACTTTGTTAGATAGTCATATGCAGTTTACAATGCAAATAGCCATGTAAAAAAGAAACAAGCACACCCACTTCAAGTCTCTATGGACATATGCTGCCTCTGTGCTTTATATCCTATTTTATCTTGTACAAAAGCTGCAACTTCACAATAAATAATTATTCCATACAAATAAACTCACCGTGCTTTAAACACTGTTAGTATTTTGATTGTACACTGAAATCACTAGAATTTTAAACTTACAATAACAGGCAACAAAGTCCATGTGCTATCCTTGTAGATAAAAATAATACACTAATATATATTATTAATCTATGTGTGGTTTCACTTATGTTTTCAGTGGTAGCATTATTTTGCATTAAGTCCTGACCAAGTGACAGAATCTTCTGAAATACAGCTGGTGGAGTCAGGGATGCAATTTGTGGTAAACCCAGTGGAGTCTTAGAAGTCCTCATTAACTAAGGCTCTAAGGAAATGATTCACTGATCATAGACACAATGGAGCCAATAATCTTCACTGACTGCTGTCCCATAGCATATTATCATATGACATGCAGGCAGCTTGGAGAGATATTATTTTCTAGTTGGATATTTCCTTCTGGCAAGCAAGTTATAGAATTTACATAATTTGAACTATCAGCATGTTCTATATACCAGGTGAATCACATTAAGAACAGTAAAATCTATTATATAACAAACAGACCTAAAACTCTAATGAAGTAAATTCATCAAGAAGGAACACACACACTCACATTCTCATCATTCATCAATTTCACCACGTTTCTCAGACTGTTTTAGAATTACCTTAGGGACCTCCCATATTCATTTGCAACACTCTTAAAACTACAATGAATGAAGGCAGAGATTACGAGAATTAACCTACAGAACTCACAAAGATGCTTACCTGGTAGTCTGGTTTTGTAAAATAATCCAAAGAGGAGATATGGTCCAGAAAGATACTGAATTCTGGAGGGAGATGTTTCAACATGAGTCTATGGTCATATCTCTCCTTAATGGAGCCTACTTGCTCCTTAGAAGTAAAGAGAAAGGAACCAAAGTCAATTTCACTTGGCAGCTATGCATTAAAAGACCCTCAATAACAGTCTCAAGGGAATGCACAGGCAATGAGGTGGCAGTAATTAAATACAAAGAACTAAGCCCACAGGAATAGCTTTATGCACAATGCTTTAAGGTAGAGGCAGGGAAAACATACTATGACATTAAATCAAGAGTAACTAAGTTTTGTACCAGTGAACTAATAATCCCAAAATTAGTAAATTATTATTTAATCTTAAATTGGGACTTTTCTCTATCAATACCTGTTTATAGCTTTCTAATCAAACAATATAATGTGACAACTAAAAACTAAAGGTTCACTTGGTTTAAAAAACAGTGAACCAGTGAAATTAAAAACTAAGGAGAGCCACAAATCAAATCAGAAGCAATGGCTGTACTTATAAATTAGTATCTGTTCTCCACGTACATAGAAATTATAACATTAATTATTTCTCTAATATCAGGAGAGAAAAATATATGTACTGGGATACAATGAAGGTGCATACAGATTTTAGTCTTATATTTATTTATTTTTAAATAAGTAAATATTTAAATATTTATAAACACATTTATTTTTAAATTTAAATTAGTTTACATTTGATACATAAAAATAAAAAGTATACACATTAATGGGGTAGTCTGTGATGTTTCAATATATGTATACATTATGTAATGCTTACTAAATATATTTTCAACAGAAGTTCTTACTGAGGACAAATTTTTTTTTATTTCCTCCCTTACCAAAATTGACATTACTGCTTCCGAAATTACCTTGTCCTTAATTTTTCTCCAAGGCAGCTGACCAACCACAAATTCCACCAACATGTAGAATAAGGACCAAAGGTCGTCATGTCTTCCCATTTCCTTGATAAACAAGACAGAATTCAGTTTACATTATATTACTAGTCCACCTGAATATACTGCATCGTTTAAGGCCTAACCATTTTGTTTCACCTTATGCCTAAAAATTTAAATGTATTTCCCATAAAATTATCTGGCAAATATATGTATACATCTATATAATTATACAGTAATCTGTATGGCAGAAATAAACATATATGTAAGGTTTTGATATAAAGAACACCTTCAAATGGAGATGTAGTTCAATGAGTCTTTGCCTAATATGCGTGAGACCCTGAATTTGATGGCCAGTACCTCAAAAACAAACAAATAAAAAACAAAGACTCAGAAATCCTAAAAAAATATATTTAACAACATATTAATTAATGAGTTCATGAAGAAGGGAGGATGGTTACCTAGCATGCATAAGGCCCTGGGTTCAATCCCCAACACTGGGGGAAAAAAAATTAGTGAGCGAAATCCTAAAAGCCAATTTTATTTTAAAAATTTGGAAATGAGAAGCAAACTGCTGTTGAGGCTCTAGCTTTGGCTGTTTTAGGGGCATGTGTAATGGGTTTTAGCAACATAAAAGAGGATGGCCTTGGTCTACTCAGGACAGGAGTTATAGCTGAGACACATTTCCCACTCCTAACACCACCACATTGGCAGGACCTTCATGTAAAATTTGGTGTGTATATACTACAATAATGCCTTTTCCTATAAAATAAAATTGTTACCAAGAAGACAAAGTGAGTGGGTTTTTTTTTTTTTTTTTTTTAGTGCCCTAAGAATTTGTTAATACAGGCTGCCCTTCATTTAGATTTGGGGATTAAATTTATACAACCTGTATGATATGGGAAATCAAACCCAGAAATAAACTTCAAATGATATCTGGGTGATCGAGACATACAATAATGGTAGAAACATGAAAATTCTCTTAAATTCAGGTCTCACTGGTTCTAGCTGCATTTGTGTGTCACCACATAAACTAACAATTGTGCAACTGTGCTTATATGTAAAGCATTCTACCTTCAGGTGTGTTGAGGGGAGAAAAGAGGATTAAGAACAACTGCTTACTGCATACTATCAAATTCCTCTACAAAGTTTAGATGAACAAATAATATTTAGGTTAACCAAGTAAATTTTAGGTTTAAAAAGTCTATAATCTCTTTCTTCTAGCTATTTGGTTATTTATTTACTTATTTTCAGTGGTACTGGGCTAGTAGCTATTTTAGATATGAACACTTACGTAGTCATTATAACCTCTGAAAATGTTTACTCTGATCTCGAAAAGAACATTGTATTTCACAGATTCCAGTACTGACATAATCCTTTAATATAGTTAATTGGAAAACCTAGTATTTCTAAGCTTTTATAAGAATCTATCCGGAAAACAAGAGAACTTTCTTTTTGAGGCAGAATAACTGATCAGATACAAAATAAAGCAATACTGGATTAAACCAGAGTTAAAATGTTTGGCAGAGTGTCACACAATGATAAAAATACCTTTACTAATTTCAATTTATAATCACATCATAAGACACCAAATTAACTGGCGCACATAAAACCACAACATATTCTCCCTATTATATCTATAGCACTGGTCAAATTTTCAATAAGGCAACTTTGGCTTTACAGAACAGGAAGAAGGTTAAAAAAAAAAAAGTATCAGGAAAAAATTTTTCTTTATTAAGGAATCACTTACTAAATTTCTTAGCTCCATGCAAACAAATTTAAAGATGTAGAGAGAATCCATTAAATTCCACCTCTCATACTCATAACTAGGACCATGGGCATGGCTCAAGAGGCTGCCTACCAAGCGTGAAACTCTGAGTCAAACCCCAGTGCCATCAAACCAAACAAACAAAAAATCCTAAGCTAAAAAATTGTAACTTCAGCTCAGGATGAGAGGGCAGGGAGAATCAGAGTAAATAAAGAGAACTAAAGAAAAGAGAAAGACATTTTAAAAAATTTAATCCAAGAGGAAAGTGATCATTTACAAATGTGAACACTTTAAAGTTGTCTGCACTTGAGATCTTCAAGTGTGGAGAGGTTATCACAGATTAGATATATATTTTAAATAAAATGATATATTTTATTATGTATTAATAACATGACATTTCTTGCAACAGAACACAGATATTCTACCTCTTCAAGAATATTGTAATATTGGTTTCTTAATATTTATACCTAATTAAGGAGACACTCCCCATAGACACAACCTTAGCTATTATCTTTTCTGGCAAATTCAGTTTTATTTTCTATGCAGCTGCATGAATCTATTATCCATCGTACATTTTACCACGTATTAGTATTATGAACTCCTTTAACATCAGTACCATGCAAAAAAAAGAATGAGAACAACCACCAGGTATAGTAGCTATAGAAGGGATTCTCTGCTCCTGAGCACTTTCTGCACCTTTGTCCTATAATATGAAGAAGTCAACGTGAGCCGGGCGCTCACTCCTGTAATCTTAACTACTTGGGAAGATGAAGTTGGGAGGACTGTGATTCGAAGCCATGCTGGGCAAATAGCTTGAGAGACCCCCATCTCCAAAATAACCAAAGCAAAATGGACTGAAGGTATGGCTCAAGCGGTAGAGCCCTGAGTTCAAACTCCAGTCCCACCAAAAACAAACAAAAGTCAATGTGACTTAAGGCATCAGTATGCATATACAGATGTGACTCTAGTTCAGATACCTACCCTGTTCCGATGAGCATTGATTGATGCATAACGAACTGTCCCTCGAAAGCCTGCCACAGCTCGAGGCTACAACAAAGCCAAGCAAGAATAACAAATCAATTTCAAAAAGCAACAGATTCAGTGCAATTGAGCACATGAAGTAAATGTGAAAGCATGTATTACTGTCAAAATAAAACATCATTTATTGTAATTTCTAACTCTCTATTGTGAAATTACAAAAAGGTAGAGAAAAATATCTCTAATCCACACTTTAAAAAACACTCATGCTTTAATTTATATATTTTTTTCTACCTACATATTTAAATATGGTGACATGAAAGCACTGGGCTGGGGGTGAGGCTCAGTGACACTTGCCTAACATGTGCATGGCTTGGGGTTTGATCCCCAACATCATACCACAAAAAATACGTATGTGTGTCTAATATATATGTGGTAGCATTTATGACATATATACAACTCTTTACATTAGAAAACATTAAAAACTTTCAGATATCCAGATCATGCCAAGCATCACAGCATATATATGTATATATATATATATATATATATATAGACACACACATATATATGTATATGTATGTGTATATATATATATGTATATGTATGTGTATATATATATATATATATATATATATGCATATATATTAACATTCAAGCACTGTTTGCAAATATGCATCTAGTAAGACCATGAGGAATCACTAAATAAGATGCCAATCTCCCATATCTTGGCTATTTCATTAAACATAATTCAAAGGTGGTAGCAACTTATACCTTATACATGCAATTTATATATTAAAAATTCAAGTTCGTGGTTACTTAGTATGTGCCAGGTACTGGGTGTGAAGGCAAACATGAAAATTACATGATCCCAGACCTTGGAGAGTGCAACTTTGAATAAAGCCTAAATACTTTTTATTTGTCCCACAAGAGTTTCTCTTTTTTTTTTTTGGCGGCATTGGGGTTTGAACTCAGGGCCTCACGCTTGCTAGGCAGGCACTCTTAACACTTGAGCCACTCCTCCAGCCCTGGCCTACAAGATTTTCTATGATCTGGCATTTGATTCATTCCATAAAAAATTACTGTACTTTCTTCTTTCCTAGCTTAACTCTGCACTTGCTAATTCTTTCCATTGCATGTCTCCCATAGTAGCACTTCTTACTCTACGTTAAGGCCTCTGCTCAAATATTACCTCCTTAATCATCCTGATGTAAAATACTTCAGTATTTTGAGTTACTTGAGAGTAACTCAAGCCATAGAGTGCCCGCCTAGCAAGTATGAAGCTGAGTTCAAACCTCAGTACCACAAAAAAAAAAAAACCACTCTTCCCACCTACAATGCCACTCTGTTTTCATATCTGCTGTATTTTTATATACCGTTTACTAACCCAGATCAATTGTATTTATATTTTTGCTTTATTCCCTACTTGTGTACATTTTTACATTTACTGGCTGTTTCCTTCCATTTTACAGGATATAGTCTGTGAGTTAAGGTCTTGCTTATTTACAAACATAGAAAAAGTCTCTAAGACGTAAGCAACTTGTCTGAGGACTCATTTGGTTACTTACATCTGAGGACAAAAATAACTTGTCTGAGGCATCAACTAAGGTTTTAAATTTAAAATCATATGCTGTTTCCATTCTACCACTTCAAAATGTTCAAGTCAGTCCCCTGAAGAGTCGTGCACAGATGGCACTATAGCTCAGTATGAAAACTAACAAACCTGAAAATGATCTTGGCCAATCATTTTCATTAGTTTTTTTCTATGATTTCAAATTTCCCACAGTATGCATTTCTTTTGTAGTCAGAAAAAGACTAGTAACACTAGCTACTCAGGAGGATTGCGGTTCAAAGTCAGCCCAGGCAAATAATTCAGGAGATCCTATCTTGAAAAAAACCCATCACAAAAAAAAAAAAAAAAAAAAAAAGGCTGGTGAAATGGCTCAAGGTGTAGGCCCTAAGTTCAAACTCTAGTACCACACAAACACACACACACATAAAAATATCCTAGGTTAGGGGTGTAAATCAGTAGTACAGCACTTGCCTGACATGCTCCAGGTCCTTGGTTCAATCCCCAGCACCACAAAACAAAACAAAACATATATCTCCACCCTCTTCCTTACAAAAGTCATTTTGATCATGTGCTGTACAGCATAAGAGTAAGATGAACTGTTTATGTGTTCTTTCTTCATTTGCTATTTTTTGTAATCTGTGTTTAATTTATTCAACCTAGGTGTCTATTTCACTTCTTTCATTACTCTTCCTTTAAATATTTTTTGGATGTTTTGGCTATTTTGGCCACTGCCAGTGGATCACACTTGCAATCCTAGCTATTTGGGAGGTTGAGAGTGGGAGGATCATGGTTTGAGGCCAGCCCAGGCAAAAAGTTCACAAGATAGAAAAAAAATTCTATCTCAACATAAAAAAAGAGTAGGCCTGGTTGGACAGTTCTGCGGGAAGTGTAAAATAAGAGAAACATGGTTCAGGCTAGACTGGGCCAAAAGTGATATCCTATCCCCAAAATGGGCAGAGAAAAAAGGCTGGAGATGTGGCTCAAGTGTAGAGTACTTGCCTACTAAGTATGATGCCCCGAGTTCAAATTCTAGTAATGCCAAAAAAAGACAACTATTTTGAAAGTATCCTCTACTTAGTGATAAGTCTCAGTAATCAAAATTTTCTGCATTCTTTTAAAATCTCCTTCATTTTCTTAGTTGCAGGTTTCTCAATATTTTCCTAAGACATCATGACTAACAGGAATATTTAATATTCTCAATTTGGTTGGTGGAACTCTGAAATTAGAGATTTCTGTTTCTAGAAGAAAAATACTTAAGAGGATATATGAAAACCTACTAGCAATCCTTTTCAGTAAATAACATTTCAGAGGCTGTACTTATATTCATTATGTTATATAGCCCTCAGTTAACATATTGTTGTTTTTGTAGTATACAAATTTGCTCAGTTTCATTCCAATAACTGCCAGGATGAAACTCTCCAGACCTATTATCACATTCTGCTGTCCAGTCCAAACTTAATTGGACATCTAGACCTCCCTATGATGGATTCTCACCAAGACTAGCCCAGGAGATTCTTCCCACTTACAAATACCCAAGACCTGACTCTTAATTTCACTTTTACCATGGAAAGATTGAAATTGAGGTAAAGAGATATCAGCTGGTTAGACAAATGTGTTTGTTTGGGTGGGTGGGTGGGTGGGACTGGGCTTGAACCCAGGGCTTCATGCTTGTAAAGCAGGCACTCTTATCACTTGAGCCACACCTCCAGTCCATGTTGCTCTTATTTTGGAGATACGGGTTTCATGAACTATATGTCTGGCTTGGCCTTAAACTTCAATCCTCCAGATCTCAGCTTCCCAAGTAGGGATTCAGGCATGAGCCACCAGCACCCAGCTCACATTGACTTCTTCACATTACAGGACAAAGGTGCAGAGAGGAACAGAGGAGTAGAGAAAGCGCTATACACTGACATGCAAAGATCACCCAGATATGCTGTTGAGCGAGAAAAGGAAATGTACAGAATGTGTATTATGTTACCTTTTGAATCAAAAAGGGAAAAGTAAGAATATTCATGTGTACATGCACATAAAGAAATTCTCAAAGAACATCTCAAGAAACTAGTAAAAGTAAAGCTACCTAGGGTAAAAGTAGGGGATGGAAGAAAGGACCAGGAGCAGTATAGGAAATGAGTGGATTTAGGATAGGCAGGAGTGAAATGGAGACTGATTTCACTGTTTTGGTTTTTTTCAAGTCAGGTTTATTGAGATATAATTTACATACAGTAAAATTCATTCTTCATGTATACATAGTTCTATGAGTCTTGAAAAAAATATAAAACCATGTAACTATTACAATTGAGAAACAGAATATTTCTATCACCCCCGAAGTCCCTGAATGCCCTTTTGTAGACATCCCCTAACCCTACCCCACCACTGGCAACCACTGATTTTTGTCTCTCGTGAGTCTTTTGTATTATGTAGGTTTGTTTTAACCTTTTTTTTTTTTTTTTGTGGGACTGGGGTTTGAACTCAGAGACACCTTGAGCCACTCCACCAGCCCTTTTTGTAAAGGGTTTTTTTGAGATAGGGTCTTGAGAACTATTTGTCCTGACTGGCTTCAACTATGGTCTCCTGATCTCTGCCTCCTGAGTAGCTAGAATTACAGGCATAAGCCACAGGCACCCAGCTTGTTTTAACCATTCGAATTGGTATACAGTGGTATCACAGAGTGGTTTTAACTTGCATTTCCCTAACAATTTATGATGCAAAGCATCTCTTAAATGCTCATTTTCCAACTTTACCTCTTCTTTGATGAAATATATATCCAAATCCTTTGCTCATTTTTATTGGGCTGGTTTTTTTTTTTAAATTGAGTTGTGAGAGTTGTTTATAGATTCTAGATTCAAGTGTGTGTTTTGCAAATATTCATTCCCAGTCTGTAATTTGTCTTCTCATTGGCTTAGCAGTATCTTTCAAAGATCAAAACTCTTTAACTTTAATGAATTTTTAATTCTTTTATTTTTGTGTCACATGAATATATTATTTACCCAAAATTTATGCTTAAAAACATCTTGAAAAAAACTAAAAGTAAGCTTTTAAAAAAATAAATACCTACATAGTACTTGAATAAAATATATTGGGCCTCGAAGGACCAATTGGATTAAAATAGGAAAAAGGAAACACATTTAAGGTATATACAACATGTGACTACTACAAAGAGGAAGGAAACTACAATGGGTGTTAGGGAACAAAAACTAGTATGGCTGAAGCAAATGGTGAGTGATAATAAAGGAAAGGTAGGTTGGAGCTAGGTTAAAGGAAGGCTTTGAATGTCACATTAAGGTTTTAGTTTATTATGTGCAGTTAAATGGAATTCATCAATTTTCTTTTCTTCTTCTTCAGATGAGTCTTCCTATGTTTCCCAAGCAAACAATCCTCCTGCTTCAGCCTCTCAAGTACCACCCACCTGGCTCATCAAGTTTTAAGTGATGACTGAGGAATTGTTTAGGATGTTTACTCTGGTGAAAGTGTAAAGACAGAGCAGAAGGAGAAGGTCGGGAGAACAGTAAGAAAAGTATTTTAATTGTTCAAATGAAGGGAAGGGAAGAAAGAAAGAGAAAAAGAAAGAAAAAGAGAAAGAGACCAACCAACCTGGAAACTAGGTCAAGTGCAGAAGCAGTGTGACTATGAAGGGAAGAATGAATACTAGATGCACTCATAAGAGAAAAATCTAGAAGAAAGGAAGTACTCTAGGAATGAGCTCTACTCTACCACTAGCCAAGGAAAAGTAAGCAATAAAAACTTGTAGCTCCAA